TTAAATTTAGACACCAAATAAGAGTTTAGAAAATTTAATAGACAGTTAAACTGATGATGAATTATATTTAGCTATAAACTATTCCTTTATTGCCGTATTTGAAACTTTCTTTGATATATAAAGGACAATTGAAAGATTCTCACAAGAATAAAAGCTATGCAGAATTAATTAAAGGCTATCCGCTCAGGCACTTTCCCAATCAGAAGTGGATTTTCTGTCAATAAAACAAATGGTTAAGAGCACAATTTAGTTTCAAGGGTAGGAAATAATAAAATCAATACTAAAATATCTAGATAGGTACTATTAGGTCTAATAATTTTTCAAATCCATAAATAGAAAAAAGTTTAATACTATAAAAAGAAAAGCATTCATTTGCTTTTCTGAATTTTGGAATAAGATAATTCACTTAGGAAAATTAGCTTGACTTTCTAACTTAAGAAAATGAAAGCATTCTACCCAATCCTACGTTACTTAAAAACCTTTATAATGCTCCCTACCAATAATGTCATGTCAACAAATATTTTTAGAACACTTCTTGTGTGGAAGGCTCAAAAATAAACAAAACGATAAAGTAGTTAACTTTATTTCTGGCACTCCATCATGCTCAATTTAAGTCCCAGAACAAGCGTAATTTCTTCATGTTGAGTTTCATGTACCAAGAACCCTTCGCAAACAATTTCATTCATTTCTGAAATAGTCTTTGCTCCAAATATTGCTCCATATCTTTCCACATCAAAAGTTTTCTCCCCAGTTTGCTGTTCTAATAGGCTCTTGCACTTTAATAATTCATTTATTTGAGTTTTTACTACATATTTAGCATAATTCTAGGCTTTAGATATAATGGCTATCAGGCAAAAATAAAGTCCCTTTCATTGCAGGAAAGTGAGAGGGGAATTTTTATCATCAATTTTAGAACCGAATAAATAAAATGAATAAAATGATAATTTCGGAAAGTAATAAAATGCTATGAAAAATATACACTGAGTTAAATGATAGAAAATAATGAGGAACTTAATTATAATAATATCTAAAATGTCTTGAGAACTTACTTTGTTTGGGGCTCAAATAACTGTAATAATTCATCATAGTTAATCCTTTTAATCAATCACCTCTGAGTTAAGCCATCTGACTCTAAGGCCTGCATAGTTACCATTAGGCTATATCTCTTGTTTCTCAAAAAAATAAGTCACCTAAGCTAAAACTCAGTTTTTTATAAAGACTGACCAGCAAAAAAGAGAAAACACAATCCAGATTCATAGGATGAAAATGGAACACAGTTGCACCTCATTCCTTTCTGTTCTATGGCTTAAGAGAAAAAATAATCAGTGAAGAAAGGAAGGATTGTCTGAGTTTAAATATGATGATTATGACAAAGGATTTATAAAATCAGCAGCAATAAAATCTTGCCCATAAATTATGTACTTGAGAAGCCAAATTTAAAAATACAATGAATTTGTGAAAACTTTTCTCTCCCAATAGAATGTTATGATTATTTTTTTCCTTTTTGCTTATGGCAGAGCTTCTTTACACATTTCTCTTCCTTTGAGCACAGAGAGCAAGGTTCTCCTCTCCTATAAGGGCGAGTACTTACATAATTTCCTCTGTAAAAAAGAGAGACATCGATTAGCCAAATGACTATTAATTTCTTTAATTTAGTGCATGCATTTATGCAAGTTGTTCTGATCATTCACTAAGTCATGAATGTTGAAAAGGAAAAATAACTTTGTTCCAATTTTATGCTCATTTCTTTTGTAAAAAGAAACTATTAAAACTGTTATTTACAGGATGTCCCTAAATCACATGGCAGTTATATTCTTGAATATTTTATAGAATACAAAGTAGATGGGAATCTATGTTAATTATGGCTGTTAGAGCCATAAAGTTTTTTGTCATAGATACTATGATTATTTCTTCATTTTGTAAAATTTAGATTGCAAATGAAAACATGTGCTTTATGATTTAACTTAAAAGTACAATG